CTTCTTTCATAACTCATCGCCTCAGCATTGAACCTCATTTCCGACCTTACCGCCAGAAGCAGTACGTCTTTCATCTAGAACGCAATACTCTTATAACCGCAGAGGTCGACAAACTCCTTGAGGCCCAATTCATCAAACATGTCGACTACCCTAAATGGTTGTCAAACGTGGTCCTCGTCCGCAAGAACAATGGCAAATGGTGACTCTGTGTCGATTACTCTGACCTGAATCGAGCTTGCCCCAAAGACAGCTATCCTCTGCCCCGCATAGATCTGCTGGTCGATGCCACGGCCGGTCATCAAATGCTCAGCTTCATGGATGCTTTCTCTGGCTACAATCAAATCCTGATGCACCCGTCCGATCGGGAACATACATCCTTCATCACCGACCGAGGTACCTACCATTACCAAGTAATGCCATTCGGATTGAAGAACGCTGGGGCCACCTACCAACGGTTGGTCAATGCCGTCTTCCATCACCAAATAGGTCGGAATATGGAAGTATACGTCGACGACATGCTAGTCAAGAGCAAACTCTCCACTGATCACCTGATCGACCTGCGGGAGACCTTCGCCACGCTACGCAAGTACCAAATGAAGCTCAACCCAGAGAAATGCGCCTTCGGCGTAGGATCTGGGAAGTTTCTGGGTTTTATGGTCAGCCAGCAGGGCATTAAAGCTAACCCTGAAAAGATCAAGGCCTTGATTGAGATGCAGTCTCCCAGGACGGTCAAGGAGGTTCAAAGACTCACTGGCCGAGTTGCAGCCCTCAACCGTTTCATTTCCCGCACAACAGATAAGTGCCTACCGTTCTTCAAAGTTCTTCGGCAAACTTTTAAATGGACAACTGAATCTGAAGAGGCTTTTCAGCAGTTAAAGCAGTGCATGGCCAATCCACCCCTCCTTTCACAAGCGATTACGGGCGAGTCCCTCTTCCTCTATTTAGCCGTCTCAAGCACCGCAGTCAGTGCAGCTCTTATCAGGGAAGACGACGCTGTCCAACGACCGGTCTACTACATCAGTCAGGCTCTCAGGGGAGCAGAGCAGAATTACCCCCTGTTAGAAAAATTATCCTTGGCCCTGGTCACCGCCTCTAGACGACTCCGTCCTAACTTCCAAGCCCATTCCATAGTGGTAATCACCGACCAACCCTTGAAGAAGGTCATGCAGCAACCAGAACTTTCCGGCAGACTTATGCAGTGGTCAGTGGAACTCAACCAGTTTGACATCTCTTACCGGCCTCAAACAGCAATTAAAGGACAGGCTATCGCCGACTTCATCTTAGAATTCACTAATCCTACTCCAACCACTGCCTCTCCACCCTTGCCAGCTCCCATAGAGCCAGAAGACCCTCACTCTTGGACTCTCAACATCGACGAATTATCCCGCAGGCAAGGTAGTGGGGCTGGCCTCATTCTCACCAGCCCTAAGGGTGGTTATTTCAAATGTGCGCTCCGCTTCTTGTTTGAGGCCAGTAACAATGAGGCCGAATATGAGGCACTGATAGCAGGCCTTCGCCTAGCCAGGGACATTGGTGTCAGCCACATCCGAGTGCTCAGCGACTCTCAGCTCATCGTCGGACAGATCACGGGCGAATTCGACGCCAAGGAGGGCACAATGCGGACTTACAGGGATCTTGCACTTCCCCTTGTTCGCCTCTTCAATACCTTCCACATCAAGCACATTTCTCGGGCAAAGAACTCTAAGGCAGATGAGATGGCCCAGTTGGCTTCCGTAAACCAGTCCGCCCTTAACAGTGGTGTCTGCCTCGAATACCTATCCCACCCCGCCATTTCCCCCGACCAGCATGAAGTACAATTCCTCCAAAATGAGCCCATCCCTTGGGCGTTGGACATCTTTCGATTTCTAACAGCGGGGGAACTTCTAGATGACCACCAGCAAGCCGCCAAAGTCAGGGCACGATCGTCCAATTGCATCCTTGTCGACGGCATCTTGTACAAACGTGGTTTCTCACGCCCCTATTTGCGGTGCCTCAATCCGACTCAAGCAACTTATGTGATGCAAGAAATTCATGAGGGAATCTGCGGCAATCACTCGGGCGGCAAGTCTCTAGCCCACAAGATACTCCGTACTGGTTATTTCTGGCCCACTCTTAATCGCGATGCGACCGATTTCGTGCTCAAATGTGATAAGTGTCAACGTTTTGCCAATATCCCCCATGCACCCCCTACAGAGTTGATCACACTTTGCAACCCTTATCCGTTCGCCAAATGGGGGATCGACTTGGTTGGTCCACTCCCTACTGGCCGAGGCCAGACCAAGTTCGCGATTGTCGCCATTGATTACTTCACCAAGTGGGTAGAGGCAGAACCCCTTGCCACCATCACCGAGCGGAACACAACCAAGTTCATCTGGCAGTCGATCGTTTGCAGGTTTGGTATTCCTCAGGCCATCATCTCCGACAACGGTAAACAATTTGACAACGCCAAGTACAGGAAGTTCTGTGCCGACCTCCAGATTCAACCTTGTTTTTCATCCCCTGGCCATCCCCAGGCCAATGGCCAAGTTAAGGTCACCAACCGCTCTCTCCTGAAGATCATCAAAACTAAGCTAGAAGCTGCTAAGGGTCTTTGGGCTGAGGAGCTACCGAATGTACTCTGGGCTTATCGAACTACAGCTCGGACTCCCACTGGGGAAACCTCTTTCCGCTTAACATACAGCGCTGAGGCGGTTATCCCAGTAGAAGTCGGTTTGCCTACTCCCAGGGTTTCACATCCGGATCCAGCACTAACCGAAGAACTCCGTCGGGCTGACCTCGACCTAATTGAAGAACTCAGAGAGACCACCGCTGTCCGACTGGCCTCATACCAACAGCAAATGAGAACACACTACAACCGCAAGGTCCGACCGAGGGAGTTTGCTATAGAGGATCTTGTCTTGAGAGAAGCAACTCTTGCTACCAAAAATCCGACTGAGGGTAAATTGGCAGCCAAGTGGGAGGGACCTTACATTGTGAAAGCCCGACCCCAACCAGGCACTTACCGACTTCAGGACATGGAAGGTCGAGACCTCCCCCACCCATGGAACGCCGAACACCTTAAACGTTACTTTCAATAAGCTTCTATTTTTGCATTGCTCAGTTATTGTATTTTCTTTTTGGAAAAATTCACACATTCTTGATATTCCCCCACGCAATGTAACTTCTTAATTATATATCTCAGTTATCTATATGTTGTCTCAGTAACATTCTTATTTGCAGCATTAAAAGCCTCTGCCAGACAGAGCACTTAAAGCCTCAGCCAGACTGAGCACTAAAAGTCTCAGCCAGACTGAGCACTTAAAGCCTCAGCCAGACTGAGCATGAGCCGCCTCGGGCAGTCCGACCGTTAACACCCTCTGCCGGACCGCGTGCTAAAAGCTCCATCCAGACTGAGCGTGAAGCACTCATCCAGACCTAACATGTAGGGCTCGGTCAAAACCACCCATGCAAAACTTCATACTTGTGGAATTAACTAACACACTTAGTCACAATTTCAGGTCCAAGTCTTCACACCACTTTTTGCTTAGTCAAATTTCAAAGACGTTCTTATCATTTTATTACATTTAACTTTCTTAGGCCTATCATTTTATTACATTTTAAATTTCACTCTGCATTGTGGAGTTCTTAACTTCACTCTGCATTGAGTCCTTATTACAAGCTTCAATTTCACTCTTATTAACAAGGAGTTCTACACACACTTCGCCCACGCCTCATTTATCTAAGATCCACAAGCAAAAATAATCAAATAACAAACACAACTGAAATTTTATTCATTACAGCAATTCATGTACAAAAGTTCATTACAGCAATTCAAAACAAAAAAAAAAACAAAAACAAAACAAAACAAAACATCAAAGTATCTTTTTCTCCTTCCTCCCCAGTTACTCCTCCTCACTGGAGAGGAGGTCTTCTTCTTCAATGCCTTCATCCAGGGGGGTTTGGTCCACATTGTCTTCACCAATTGTTACACTACTAAGGTCTAAGTCTGGGAACAGCTCTTCAGCTCTACGTTTGAACATCTTCCAGTCATTGTCCCAGTACTCAGCCATTTCGTGCTTATAAAAGTCTGACTGCTAGAAACTCTCAATAACTTCTGCTTTAGTTCTGCCTCCAACGGTCGTCCTCGATGGGCCCACCCTCCAGATTCCTGCCTAGCCAGGCTACTCGCGACCGCGGCGTCAACCGCCGTCTGAAATTCGGCAGACCCTTTGAATTGCTCCACTGCTGCGACGCACAGATCGGGATAAGCCGCCCTTTTAGAGGCTGCCTGTGCCCTCTCTTCGTCCAGCTCTTTTTGCAGGGCCACCCTTTCTGACGCCGCCTTCGCCTTTTCCGCCTCCAATTCCTTCTTCAGGCTCTCCTTCTCCGCCGTTGCCTGCACTCTCTCTGCTTCTAACTCCCTCCGAAGCCTCCCTTTCTCCTCCACCGCCTTGGTGCGCTCGCCCTCCAGTTCCCTCTGGAGATCGCCCACTTTGCCATCCGCCTCATCCTTTTGCCTGACCAGCTCCTCATTACTACTCATAGCCTCTTCATGTCGCTCGACTGCGACGGCGCAGGCTCTTTGGGTCTCGTCCAACTTCTTCTGCTCGCTAGCCAGTTGGAACTCGAGCGACACAACCTGGCGGCGTATGTCCTCCAGCTCCGCCTTAACCGCTTGCAGCTCAATGTGGGCACTCTCCCAACTTACACTCTTCTTCTTTAACTTCGCAAGCTGAGCCTTGGCCTTATCTGCCTTGAGTTTGGCAGCCCCCGCCTTCCTCAGCAGGGCCCCTGCTAAGGTGGTTACCTCCATTTGAGCAGAGTATAACCCCCTTAACAGTTCAGCCTCGTTGAATCGGGAGGCCGAGCGCAAGGCTGCCTCTTCTACAATCCCTACAAGGCGGTCTGCCCCTGCCCTGGCTGAGCCTTCTTCTCCCTCCAGCCTCCCGGCTACCGCGCGCGCATGATAAATAGCCGTGGCCACACGAACCCCCCCTTCCTGGGGGTCGGGCCTCCCCTGAACCTGTTCCCTCCCGCTCGGCGCCGCCTCCCCCACCCCAGCCTCCGCTTGTACTGGTGGACCCACCTCCACAACCTCCACCGTTGGGATGATCTCCACTTCCTCTGGGGCGTCCTTTGCCGCAGACTCCTCTGCATCCGTTGGGGCCACCTTCGCCCTCTTGGCCCCAGACTCCTCTGCAGCCTCCTCTGGAGCCCCCCTCTTCTTCTTCTCCTTCTTTTTCTTCATGACCGTCACAACCCCTCTGGCCTTTTCCTTTATAGGGTCTACAGGCGGCGGAAGCGGCTCAAAGCTACCCAAGTCTTTTTCCCCCAAAGGCCTAGGGCGCGGTCGGATCCTCTCCCGCGAGAGCGGTTCAGCCGGTCGGCCCCTCTGCGCCTCTATCAACTTCGCGGCCTTGGCCATAATGGCTCGATCCTCCATCTCCTGTGCTCTTCTCCTCTCTTCCAACCCCCCCCGGTCGAGGTCTCCACCTTTCGGCTGCGGTCCCAACCCCGCCTCAAACAGTGCTGACGGCTGGACAAGATCGTCCCATCTGGCTTTCTCTCTCTCTCTCCACTCCCTCACTTTCTTCACCCTCTCTTCCGCCACCACCCCTAGCCTAGACTCCATCTCGTCCTATTTGGCCTTTTCTCTCTCCCTCCACTCCTTCACCCTCTTCACCCTCCCCTCTACAGCTGCCCCCAGTTTTGGCTCCACCGACCTGATGGGTACTTTCCAAATGGTGCGCACTCCAAGCCCCCCATTGGCAGACACGTAGAACCACTGTGGTCGCCACCCCTTGATCGATGACGGTAGCCCCGCCACCAACCCTCTCCCCACTGATGCCTGCAGAGTGACCCATGTCTCCTGCTGCCCCGAGGCCTTATAACATGCAAAGAATTCGTCTACTGTCATGGCCTCCCCTCCATTCGCTTTCGGCCACGCACTTGCGCAGACTAGCAGGATCTTCCATGCGTTGGGCATTAGTTGCCTCGGTGCTACCTCCAGACGGTTGAGCACATCCACCACCACTTGCGGCAGTGGTAACCTCAGTCCACCCTTCAGAGCTTCCTCATAGAGAGAAAACTCTCCTGGCCTGGCGTCAGACGGCCTTTCCGTTGATGTCGGCAGCAATAACTCCACTTTCCCCAGGGATCTAGTATTTTTCACGGATAGCCTCCAACTCCGCCCCAGTAATCGTGGATTTGTCAGCCTTCGTATGCCAATGATCTGGTTCCGCCTGGCTGATTGGCTTTGGAGCTGCTATCATGGTGGAACCGTGGGGTCGTACCACCGACTCCCCCACCCTCTCTGTCCTATACTGCGCCGCTAGCTCCACAGCATCGTCATCTCCAAGCGGGTCCACCCTGACAATCGCACTCCCTTCTTCGGCCATTTCTGTGGTATGTTTGCGAATCGCTTCGGCGGTAGGAACAAGAAAATTGAAAAAGTGTTGCAGAGGTGTATTGTGAGCAACAAAGGAATTCACACTTGGAATATTTTGATTTTTCGTACACAAGTAGGTGAATCGAATAATGCCAAAAGCCCACGGTTTGCCCGTATTCCAAGGGTCCCAATTAATTTTCACCAGTTTGAAAGCTTTTCAAAATCATCCGCCAAAACCGTCTCTTCAACACCCATAATGACCTAACGTTTCGTTTCTGATCCAACGCCTAATCTTCCCCCCATACGGGATGTGGCCACGTGTACGACCACGATGCATTGTCCACTCCCCTTACCCTGTCTTTTTTACTTCAAATCATCACTTGCCACGCCACCTCTTGAGCCCTGCGCCAATCCGCTCGGCCTTCTTGCGCGGTCACCCCTCCTCACGGTCGGCCCCTTAGCTCGGCCTGTCCTCAACGGTCGGCCTTCTCATGCGGTCGCCCCTCTTCACGCTCGGCCCTTTAGCTTGGCCTTCCCGCGCGGTCGCATCTCCTCCAGGTCGGCCCTCCGCTTGGCCTTCGCGTGATCAGCCCTCTCCACGGTCGGGCCATCTTACGCTCAGCTCACACTCTTCACAGTTTATAGGCAAGAATGCCATCATGATGGTGTCTTGGAAGTGGATGATGGCCCTGCACTCACAATCGTCGTCCACTCAATTCCTTTACCATTTCTTTCCAGCAAACTTCATCATCTTGCACATATACATTGTCTTCACTTTCCAGCACAGGCAGCCATGAAATTCTATCCAGTGCATCAAGGTTTGGTACAATTGGATTGACTTCTTTTCTCCAAAAAAATATTTTGGAAGAAATGCTTCCATCAAGAATGGAACTTAGAACCTCTTGAATCAGATCAGATAAGCTAATTAGTCTAGACAATCAATATAATTAAATTGTAAGAATATAAGATCTATATACTAGAAATCAAAATACTATGAATATAATTAACTACTCAAACATAAACTTGGATACATACCGTTTGATTCCGTTATTGTCTTGAGTTTTGCTTCTTTGAAAGATGATGGTATTCACAATCGGAAAACCTTAGCACCAGCTCTTCCCCTCCTTCTCCTAATCTTTATGTTGTCTTTTCAATATGGCTGACAACCCTTTGATCTACATATATATAGATATATGTAAACCCTAATAAGAATAGGAAAGAGGACTGGGCCTAAATAAAACAATTACTGGGCCCTCCCATTAAGGAATCTAGTTCTCTCCACCCGAGCTCCAGCACATGCACATGTAGCCATGAAATTCTATAAGGTACATCAAGGCGTGGTACAATTGGATTGACTTTTTTTCTCCAAAAATATATTTTGGTAGAAATGCTTCCATCAAGAATGGAACTTAGAACCTCTTGAATCAGATCAGATAAGCTAATTAGTCTAGACAATCAATATAATTAAATGTCCCTTTTTAATCATAAGTGCTCTTCTTCCTTTATTTATCATCAAACTCTTGAAATATCCCAATGCATCAACAATGCAACACCATCCTCATGTGCCAATTCATCATCCATGAACCTGCAAGATAGCAATTAAAATAAAATAAAGGAAAAGAATGGAGGGGTTGGTGGCCAGCCCGTTGGTGAAAGTGGTGTAGTGCGGCCCTAAATGATTCCCCATTTTTTATTATTTTATTATTTAATAAATTAATAAAAAATATCTAAAATATATTATTTATAACAATTTATATACCATCGCACAAAATATGTATGTACAATTATTTATTTATAAATAAATAAATAAATTGTATGTACAGTGTGCAGTGGGGATATGATTTAACTTCCATTTTTGTTGCATGTGAAAGTTTGATAAATTGTATGTACAATTATTTATTAAAAAAAAAAAGTAAAATAAATAAATTGTATGTACAACTTACAAAAAGGTTTAACTTTGTTATTTTGTTGTTTTTTTTCTTCAATCTAGTTAGCTAAGAATATGCAGTATGCATGTGTGGAGGTCTGTGCATCACATCTTTTCTCATCATTATTGGGATTGGTGCTCTAAGTGACTTTTTCACTCAATAGACAAGAAAATTCATAGGCTAGTAGAAGAAACTTTGGCCTTACTTGATGGAGCATGTAAGTCCTTAAAACTGAATGCATTCAGTGGTTTAACAACTAAATCTGAAAATTGATTGGAAATGGGTCATAATTTTAAGTCAGCAAGATTTGACTTATCGTTGAATGCTGAATATGCTCAGTGGAATGTAATTTTTAATTTTATCAACAACCAACATATTTATATTTTAAGGCATGAGATTGTTTTCTTTCTCTCAACAGCTTAGAAATGGGCAGATGACAAAATGTGGGCTTGGCAAATTGAGCATCCCCACTCCTTTCTCTTTTGTCCCCTCAACTTTCTTGCCAAACAAGGGAAACCTCCCTCCTCCCTTCCTCCCTCCCATTGCTGAAAAGTAAGACTGGCTCTTTCTTTTTTTTAAATGGTCTTCTGTGATTTTAATTAGCACCTGTTTAAATTCATTTGGATTCAGTTAGACTGAAGTATATCTAAAATGTCAAAGGCATGCTTGGGTTAAGGACAACTAAATGTTCACATAATAACAAAAGCTGGGTTCAACACCAATGGATCTTGCCCGGTTGAACTTGGCTAAAAGTGGACAAATAAGTCGGAATGCACTCTGCCCATGTGGTTCCAAAAAGCGATACAACCAGAACTTTCTATTTCCCGAAACTTTCTATTGACATTAAATTAGGATTAGCAAGACAAGCATGCAAACTGCTGAATAGTAGAGCATTAGTGCCGGTTCTTTGTTTCCATTGAAATATAATGCTTGCTGGATTCCTGTTTTAAGAGAAAATATGGCTTTATCAGGTAGGCAATCTAGGCAATCATTCGTATTGAATCATTTCTATTTTCAAATAGTTTTTAAAAATTTTCCCACCAATATAAAAGTTGCAAACTGTCATGCACTACCAATCTCACTGTCAGGACCCAAACCCGCCCCTATAGGTTTAACGTTATGACCGGCCGGTAATCATAGATTACCTACGGCCTCCATAGTAAAGAATCTCTTAATATTAAGTATGGGGCTTAGCGGAAGTTTAAAATGATATTGAAATTATCCATTGAGCTGTGCGTATATGTAGAAAACTAGTATAATAAGTAAAGTTTTGTTCCAAAAGTACATCCATTGCAGTCATACAAAAATTCATGTCTTACAAAAATACAACCCCAACTCTATACAAATACGAAATCACTGAACACAAAAAGGGGTTCGACTAGCATGGCTCCACCCAAGCCTAGTTACTTCGCTTAGAAGCTCCACAAAAGGCTGACCTGGGTAGACTCGAGGCTTTCCTAACTCTATTGTTCGGCTTGCCCACCTACATATATATACAAATAAATAGTGAGCTAGAGCTCAATGAGTAATAACAGAATAAAGAGGTTATATGGATGAAATTCATTATCACTACGAGTACAATACTAGTCATCAATAATCATTTCAGTCATACATGTGGCGCATTCATTTAAGTAATAATATTTTAATAACAATGGATCACAATGGGTCAATTCCATGGACCACGATGGTCTAACACTAGAGATCTCTGTGTGCTTCGGTCAAGTCAATGGCCTTAGTATTAATCTCCCCCAGGCAAGGGTCAATGGCCTTGGTATTAGTCTCTCCCAGGCGAGGGTCAATGTTCAATAGGTGTCACAAAACAACGTGAACTTCGTTCATCTATAGAAAAATATCATTTTGATAAACCATTCATTTGATTACATATAACAATAAGGAATTCAAAATAGATACGACATGAACATATCTTTATAAAGTTGCTACTCACAGTGGTTTGTGGTGTCATTAAGCCTTGGACACCCACCTAGACAAAACACATAACAAAGGCACAATTGAAACACCACTTCAATTTAATTCAATTCTTCTCATATGTTTCTTACTCATTCTATGATTATGTGAGTCTAAATTGTGTCTAAGAATACTCGGAGTGGCATGAGGATGCAAATATGCACTTAAAAGAGTTGGTAAAATTTTGCTGAGAACAGGGTCTCCGCTCGAGCGCAACTTCCTTCGCTCAAGCGGGGTTTCACAAACAAAGGTGGTTGCTCGAGTGTAACTTCTGTCGCTCAAGTGGTTTATAAAAATATTGGTTACATGAAATTCCCGCTCGATGGTCGCTCAAGCGGAAAACTGAGAAAAAGGGTCCTCGCTCGAGCGCCACTTTGGTCGCTCGAGCGGCCTGTAAAATTTCATGAAACTTCTGGGAGCTCGATTTTCATGCTTGAGCGAGGCTTTTCTCACTCAAGCGAACAGCACGAATTCTGGAATTTCCAGAACTGTGTTTGAACTTCAAGGTTGATATTCAAAGCCCCAAAACTTGTGTTTTTGGTACAAAAACTTGGAAAATCATTATATAACATGAAAACATTTCCAATTTGAAACCATTTGTTCAAAATCATGCTTCAATTGGCCAAGTTCAAGCTTAAATTTTCAAGTTGAAGCCATACATGTTATGGATTGAGCTCCTTCATGTTAAAACACCACCAAGTGATATGAAATGCATGAATTCATGGATGATCTTCAAACTCATGCCTCCTAAGCTTCATGCATGTATGAATTTTAAGAAATCTTAGCTAAAAACTGAAAGATTAAACATGCATGTGCATAATTCAACTCAAATTCATCATATCCATGATAATTCATGCTCAATCTACCCAAATGATTCCCCAACTCCATGAACTTAGTTTATATATGACTTGATTCCAAGAATTTGGCTTGAGTTTCATACCTAATGTGTGAATTCAAGTGTTGGACTAGCTCAATTCATCAAAACTCTAGCAATTTACTTCAGTCTCCTTTTTCTCTCTCTAAATGTTGAACTCTCCTCCCTTCTCTCTCAATTCTCAGCCAAGTGTGTGTATAAGTGAGCTCATAAGCTTATTTAGAGCTATTTATATGATGTGATTAAGTTAGCCTAATCACATATGATTAAGGTTAACTAGGTAGGCTTAATTCTAGTAAAATCAATCAGTTTATTCTATTTATTTTGATCCAAATAAATTTTTCCATTAAAGTTACCATAAAATTCTAAATATTCTAATTAGCCTATTGGACTAGTCAATTTCAATTTCTAAAGTCATCTGAGCTCTCAATTTCTGTATCTAAGTTGTCAATTCGGACAAATATTCCATGTAATGACAGATAATCACAAAATTAAGCATGTAATTGCATAAATAAACACACAATCATGCAATTAGACGTAGTAAAGTATCATTATACACTAGTTCGGTGGTCGGGGTCATCACACCCACCACCAGCATGACATACTGCACATCTATTGACGTATGTCATTTTTCAATAAATGATGGTTGAAAAATCTGTTCTGCTCATGTTCTAAGTCCAAGAACCAAGACATCACAAAAGAAAAAAAAAAAAAAAAACAGATTCAAGAAATAGTTTTGGGTTTGAATTTTAAGTTTTTTTTTTGTGTGGTAACATTGGAAGGAAAACTACAAACAAAGGGCTAAGCCATTTCACTAGATAATCCAATTATGTCTCTCACTAGCAAGCCTCTAATTTCAGCTGGCAGTTCATTCACCCCCAGCATATCTTCAGGTTGTTCTGCTCCGAGTTTGGCTAGGGCGTCCGCACATAAGTTTCCTTCTTTACAAATGTGTTGAATTGTGCATTCACAACCTCTAAACAGGATTTTTGCATCATCCACCAAATTTCTAAAGGGGTAGTTGTCCACAGTTTCTTCCTCCATTAGCTTCACGACTAAGGTTGCATCTGTTTCTATCAATACATTATGTTGGTGATGATTACAAATAAAACACCAGAAAATACAAATAATAAAAATTACAATAACTATTATAAGGGCCGAGGCGCGGGAAATTCGCTCTCTTTAAGGAGATTCAAGCCCTCTGCAGTTAGGCAAAGTCTCACACCGGTGCAACAGAAAAAACCTTGACTTGTCCCCCTCCCCAGGATACAACAGCCCGACTAAGTCGTATGTTTCACCAATACTGCACAATTGGTTGAACCCAAAGCTTTATCACATACACCCTTTTTTATTTGTCTGATAATCTCACACAAGACCTAATAAAGCAACCAAAACCTCTTCACCCCACCAAGATAAGAAGATAGCTCAATATATATATATATATATATATAGGAGAGAAAGCTTGGAGGGTTTTTCTTGGTGGATAATAAAAGGAAAGGAAATTGGTGGGCAATTTCCTTAGAAGACTTGGAGACTTGATGGATAAGAATAAGAAAGGAAATAGGTGGGCAATTTCCTTGGGAGACTTGACTTGACTTGGCGAAGACTTGACTAGGCAAAAAAATGAAAACTTGGAGGGAAAGAAAAGAAAATCAAACCTATAACACATTATAATATTAAAATACCTGCTAACATTCCCCCACCTATTTTAATATATAGGTAACAAAAACTGAGATTATTAGGCAAATAAGGATATTATGCATCATGGTAGGTGTGCTCTGCATTGAACCTCCATTAGTGAAACAATAATATCTACTC